ACATTGTGTTTGTTTCATTCCAAATCCATTGTGGTGGTATATAGAGCCAAAGATGTTAGAACTGTGTCGATGTCCCAATATCTCTGGACCTGACTGTACATCCATCTGGAGAAAGGGGAAAAGGCTTGCAAATATTTTTCAAGCATGGCTTTCACCTACCATGATTGTGAGTAGGAAAATAAGGCCTAAAATAGCTGAAGTATTTGTGGACTGTGATTAAAAAAAAAAAAGCCTAAATCACGTAAAATTCTCTAGATCTATCCTTTTATGCATTTCTGAAGTAGCTGTTGAAGTGGGGTCCTGGAATTAATAACCTGGATCACATCCCACTCTAACCCGTGCTAGGTTTTGGCTGAATGTGTTCTGTACCTCCAGACATTGCAATTATTACACCATGTTTATAGTCCAGTGTATTGTACAGCTAATTGTAGTTCAAGCATGGTTGATATGTGAACTGAGATAATGAGAGTGTTTTTATAAACTATAGTTTAAACAATGGTTTATTCACTATAATTGATGGAAGGACCAATTATTTTGTGTGATCGAGGTTTAATTATTTGTTTAAAAAACTAGGCTAAATGATTTCAGGTAGGCAATACATTGTGCTTTTTCCTTTCTTGTCTATATATTAAAGCAAAAATAAAAACTGTGGTCTATTAGATAAGCCATAATCAGCTGGGTTTACAAAACACTTGGAGTCATAAACCATGACTTCTAAGCCATAATAATGGAGTTCTACAGATGGTTGCAAAAATCTATACATCTGTGCTGCATTCTGTGAAACCCACCAGCATGCTAAATGTAGAGTTGAATAACTTTTTAGTTTGAATTTTAACCTTTTGTCGTTTTTAACTTGTATATTTTCTCTAAGATTTTAGTTTTTTACTTGTAATGCTGCCTAGAGTCACTTGTACAGTGAGATGGGTGGCATATATAAATTTGAAAAATAATAAATAGAAAAACAAAACAAAACATTTTGTTTCAGCCAGGAGATGGCATCAAAAGAAAATGATTTTATTTTTCTGCTTTCAAGTCAGCTGGATATACTATAGTTAAAATAAACAAACAAAAACACTAATTCTGGGTATATTTATAAACTTCACTATACTGTTCAGTTACTATATAACTTTTTTTTTTTTTGGTATGGCTGCTAGAAAAAAGTATCTTTTTGCAAAGCCAGTACAACATACATAAACAATGAATCATGTGGAAGAAGTTATGGTTATGTTGGAAAGAGATCTGTCTTTGTACGGCCAAAATGTCACCCATGGTTTTATGGTTAGTCATAATTCTTATGTAAGCATTTTATATAAGCTTTGAAAGTGGCAATAGCAGCACTGGAAATGTGATAGTTTGCATGAGGCATATTACTGAAGTTTTAAGCTTACAGAGCAGTCCATCTCCCTGCAACAGTGCAAAAGAATACATAACCACCCCTCATATAAATTAGTTGTGGCAAAACAACCTGTCTTTAAATATTTGTGTGTATTATTAGAAATGGTAATAACAATGTCAAAGCTAAAGAAGTACTCAAATATTAGCTAATTAAAAACATCAACAGTCTACATACGATATGAAGTTAGAATTTAAAAAATAGAAATATCATAGGCCATTCCTAAAAAGTCGATCAGATTGTTCAAGTCCACATCCTTTTTCATCTATCTATCTATCTATCTATCTATCTATCTATCTATCTATCTATCTATCTATCTATCCTTATTCAAATTCAAATATCAATAGAGGCAAATATGTGTCAGTTCAAATATCATATATCAGGTATCCACTGGTACTAATCAGATATAAAATTATCTTTCCAGCTTTCTATACTGGTGGCTATTATTACTAGCTGCTGGTCACACATTCACTTGCATTTCCTCATCCTTGATAGAGAACTTGTATTTAAGTTGCTGCGGGCAAGTATACATCGGGACCACAAAACGCAGCATCCAGACCAGGATAAAAGAACATGAAAGACATTGCAGATTATAGCAACCA